AGTTCGCTGTGCCGTTGACAGGCTGTGGTGGTCTGAGGCCAGGGCAGGCTGTTGTTGATAGCCAACATGTGGCACTTCTGAGTGGTTGTGTATGTCCGTGCCTGTGTGGGGCGATGGGGGGTGGGCCCAAAATAATATTTGCACCGGGCCAATCACAACCTTGTTACGCCACTGCTGGTAGCGATATTTTATACTTCATGCTTTTTGCACAAACTATATCATATGAAAATCTGAGAGTCCACAGATTATATTGGTATAAGTGTCATCCCTGTGCGATCAAAACTCACTGTTCTACATGATAAATAAAAGAACATTGCACCTTGAAAATCAATAGCGGGTCAATTTGACCCGTTGGCGGTTTTAGGTATAGCTACCTCTGGCGGTTCTAGTGTTAAAGCACACTGGGTCCTTAGATGATGTTAGAGCAGGATAGCAAAGCTTTAATATGTGTATATTTTCTAGCAGAATGAATGTTGGAACCTATCCTATAATTGGTGCAACACAAGATAACACAAAGTGAAACCTAAAAGTAGGTTTGCGGGCGGGGCCGTGTGGACACAGTTTTCACACGCTAGAGTGTGTGAACTACAATTAGTCTTTATCAAAGGAATTGCCCAAACAAAACACTGTCCTATAAAAAAATTGCATATCCAAATTGCCAAAATATGCGCCACACCCTTTGTGTCTTCTGACTCCGTCTCTTCTCCCACCCCGCCCTTCCTATACACACAAAAACAAACACACCCCAGGTAAGTAATCCCCTGGAGTATAACTTGTGCACCTTGGTTTTTACTCTCTTTTCACACGTGGTGAAATGTGGTGCATGTATTGTGAATACAGGGGCTTTACTTTCACACTTGCGCTCTGACTCATAAACAGAAAGGGCCGTGGCTGTTTTCGTTGCTGTTCATGAGTCAAATTACCTTACTATGTCAAAGTGGAAGGTCTAGTGTAGCTGTGGGTGTAAAAAATAAAACATGATTTAAAAGGTCTGCTTCTCTATTCCTGATTTCTCTATGTCTGGTGTCTGGTTTAGCTATGTCTGGTTTCTGGACTGCATGTGTTTTCATTTTTTCCTCTTCAGGACATGTAGTGCATTCAAATCCATGATATTCTCTTTTATCGTTGATAATAAAGTGCACAGGAAGTTATTGCTCTTTATTCCACTTAATGAGCTATCATTTATACCTATGCATTTTCCAGGCAAGGTGCCAATAATATGATTATCGTTTTATTATTAATCTTTTTGTTCTTACGGCATCAAATACCAGAAAAAAAACTTGAGAAGCATGTATTCCCCTCCTTGGCCTCATGATATCAAGTGACACCTCAGTGTCACACCTGATGATGATAATAATACCTCCTCTACTTCCTTTTAGCAGCTTCATTGTTGAGAAAATGGAAACTGGGTTACAAAAAATCCCCATTGACAACTGGTTTCCAGTTCCCTTCCCGCACATTTAGAGTCACTTCCTCATACTGGGCCTTTTGGACAGCCAATGAACCACCAGGCAGCTGTTCCGCAATCTGTGTCTCTACGACCTCTTCCCTGTTGTGACGCACATGGAAACTATGTTTTAAATATTTTAAACTTGTAATTTATATACAACTTATCAAGGATTTTATATAATGAATCCCATTTTCTCAGATGCTGAGGAAAAACATACTTTGTTGGATTAAAAGGAATGAAGTTTATAGAATACTATTGTGTTTGTAAGGGATCATAATAAGTTCGACAAATTCTTCAACCTTACAGAACTTGCAGCTCCCCTCAAGCTTTACTGAACTTTATATTGATTGTCTAATAGTTTTTTTAGCTGTCTGACCCATGACTTTATTGTTCTCATCACTATAGTAAAGTTTTTTTCACCCCAATGTACAATGTAAGGGTCCATAATTCCTAAACCATGTATGTGCTTTATAAACCAAGAGCAGTATGTCATTGGCCAACAACAGTTACAAAATGTGAATATTGGAGTTATGTTGGCCATGTATCGGCCGAAAATACAACTCCAAATGAAGGCTAATGGTTTTCCGAACCTGTGCTGCATTCAGAATCAAGATTTCCAAGTAGGTTTACACATAAAAGAAATTGGCTTTTTGTGAAAACTCATCTCTTTCGACTCCACTTCGAGCGATAGAATTATTAACAAAGCACTTATATACTAATAAAGGACTGGCTTATTTAAAGCCAGTTGAGTAGCACTTGAAATGTTTTAGCTCTATGAAACCTGATGTACTTATATGATTCTGTTTTCTTCAAGTTTGTATTTTGTTGGACGAAGGCACTTATTGTAAGTCGCTTTGGATAAAAGCGTCAGCTAAATGTAATGTAATGTGTATAATGGAGCATATGTAAACACAGTAAGAGGAATTCATTAGTAAGTGTACAGAAAAAGACAAAGTACAAAAATCCTATCTATGTCATTGTGATTGTCTGGTTGCTATTCCTTACCCTGACTCTCAGAATCTATTAATTCTCTCACAAGTGACAAGCAATGCATGTTTATTCATCTCATCTGTTTCATATTCTGTATTCAGTTAGAGTTAACAGAGTTAACAGTCTCGTATTTAAATACACAACTCCTCTGGTGTTTCAGCCGTCATTACATGATTGCCATTAAAGTAATTGTTGGAAAAGCATCATTAATAGATGAGTTGCACAAACGACCTGATTCCCAAGTAGTTAAATGAGCTCAGCAGGGCAGCAGCCAGTAGCCCTGAAGCTTCTGCACAGATCAGCATGGAGGCATTGTGGTGCTAACTGTCTGTGATCCTCTATTGTTTCTCAATGGCCGCCATAACAATAGGTCACATTCCAGTCCTGCTGGGCCCTGTGTGTGTGTGTGTGTGTGTGTGTGTGTGTGTGTGTGTGTGTGTGTGTGTGTGTGTGTGTGTGTGTGTGTGTGTGTGTGTGTGTGTGTGTGTGTGGTGTGGTGTGGTGGTTGGTGTGTGTGTGTGTGTGTGGTGTGTGGGTGTGGTTGTGTGTGTGTTTCGATGTCAATAAATGTCCGTGCATTTGTTTGTCTGTGGGGCCCAGGGTGGTGACCACGCTGTGCAGGCTTTTCATTTGGGTTGAACTCGCCCTCCGAGAACTGTGATGCTCCGTGGGTGGCGCCTCCTGCCATGCTAGCTGCCTCATAGATCCCCCCACATTATATGAGGTAGGAGGTGGGGCTAATGGATATACCCCGAACATTTCATTCATTCAAGCTGACACTTGTATCCAGAAGTGACACACAATGAGGCATTTTAACCATGGAGACACAAACTCAAAAAGCCAATAATTTCTACAAGTACATTAGTTTCGAGCTAAGATTATAGGGGCTTTTTGAGTATTTCGTAAGCCAGAGGTGCAGTGGGAGCAGGTGGGAACAGTCTGTGATGGAAGTGTGAAGACTTTCTGATGTCATTTGGGGAGCCTGTTCCACCATTGTTCGGTTGA